TGATCTGAGATCTGAGGCCTCAAGTCTCACGTTAACTGATTCGGCTGTATTCACACTGTAGAAACACTTTTACGATAAATTCAATGATTTCAATGACAGATTTTTCAATATTCTTTCATTGTTGTAGACTTTTGTGATTTTATATTTTCAGCTTGAGCACATTACATCATTTGTTCCATTTCCAGTGAATAAGGACCTTAGATCAACATAAGAAACAAATGGCTTTTTCTGATGATATATTTTTAGACAAATGAATCTCCTTTGAGTACATTACGGATGAATGACAATTCTAGACAATGTCCATTCTTCATTTCGTCCATACATTTTAACTTTACATCATATGAATCTAAGAAAAGTCTATTCATTTTACAGATTCCATTATCAGGATTTTTTCAAACTGTGTGATCGTAAATGGGTGGAATTACTGTACACGGTTGCTGAAATTGATGTGTAACAACACATTTGACTCCCTTACATACACCAGAATTTACGGTACTAAAGCAGAGTAGTTGAACTGAAACTGCGCACAAACTGAAACATCCATATAGAAAGACATAGTAATTATCTGAACTGCGAATTGTATCGAAGTATGAATGCGGGACGATCGCATCGATAGTGCAGTCCTGCCTTCAGTACGAGCAAGATTAGACTCCAAGATTGAGGACCGATGAGACCCAACGAATGTACTCCTATCCATTTTGCTGTATTGCTTGGTTGTCTGAACCTTTCAATATAGACCAACAAAGCGCTGACTTTTATGACGGCCTACGATGTAAGGTTGCGTGCAGTCGACGCCTATTTACCGAGCACGACTCTTCTGGTTATAATTTAATATCTAACACGTGTGTTAAATTAATTGTTTATTTTGGCTCATCGGTCTGAATTTCCCCGGCCCGATCACCCGACTTTCGTTGCATGCAATTGGTCCTCCCAAGGAACATTGCACTTGAGGATGAATGTACATTGCTGTGAATAGCGCTCAGCCCGCAGGTGCATGGTGCACCTGAATCGTGCATTCACTGGAGGCAAGAGCATTTGTCTCTTGCCAAATTGTCTGCGTTGCCACTGCACCCCATCGTTATCCCAGCACGACTGCAGTCGTCGCCAGAAGAGTGGCCTGGGCTGCAAATCGATACGGGAGCCATTCAGACCTTTCCTCGTACAAAAACAACACTGTTTCTCTCCCGAAAGCTTTCTTGCGAGAGGAGTCATGCAAGAGTGCGCGGCATCTGATTGTTAATTATCACTACACGGGACGATACGAACGGATGACGCCAACAAAACGAAGTTAGAGGTACGAATCGAAATCGAAAGCGAGTCGATTCTACAGAAATCTCCTGATCCGGTCACTCGAATGGTTGACTGAAGATCGTGCCTTCCTTCCTCAGAATTCCGGGTGCTGCCTGGCCCAAGTCGATCTGTCCGAAGTGCAGACAAATCCCGCCCCAGATCAAAGTTGTATCTCTAAAGAACCACAGGGGAGAATCGGCAACCTTGTAGTCGACTTCTAAAAATGTCCACTAGACTTACGAAATTCTCAAATAATTAGAAGTTTTCATATATAGGATAGCTAAACTTTAGATTCAAGAGTCTTATTTTCAAAATTGTTTTAAATTGATGTAAAGAAAACTCTCGTTGTCTTCAAATTTTATATTAATTTTTGCATGAGATATATTAGATTATAATATATGTATATGTGATGAATAATTTTTCTTAAATTTTATTTCTGGGTTAAAAAACCAAGATTGGGAAACACGGAAGTGCACTTTTTTATTCTTTATGATTTTCGTTACCTTTGGGTAGATTTTTTTATTCACAAACACAAAAAAATCCTTTTTAAAAAATAAATATGAATAATTTTATTATTATTCTTATAATTTTCCTTTACGTGTATGTAGACAGAGTAAATTGATATCTATCTGAGTATTTCAAAATGAAATGAAAAAAAAAATCTAATCATCAATAACATGATGAATCAGTTTTTCTAAATTTCATGAGTGCACTTACAAATGAAATGTTGATACATGATCTAATAATGGTATAACCAGAGTAAAATGTTGTTGCAATAATTAAGGATATTATGATATTATATTTTAAAATAAAATATTTTGAATAATACTTAAGTTTTTAATTATAGATATTCTTGTAAAAAACAAAGTGAAAAACTGATGTATTACGTTTGAATTGATTGATGATATTACATCCTCATCTACTATACTAAGCCCTTACAGTTCATCTAATTTAAGTGCAAATGACCGAATACTATGTCAATAATACGATGTCCACTTCATAAGACATGAAAGCTCACGAGTTAATCAATTGTGACTAGCTCTACTCCAACAATTTTATACTGTATACGAGGAACAGTATCACTGAAATTGTGTATTTTGGTATATGTGAAAATACCTGAGAATAAAGAGATGTTCGTTGACGTCGTAAGATCAACGTCAACGAACAATTGCAACATGTATAGAAATAATGGATTTGAGATAGAATGAGAGTAAAATTTAAGAGATGGATTCGAGCATATTTGCAACGTAAATCGGTAAGATTCTCAGGTCATTAAACAACCGGCGTTAAATTGGTACGTATCGACATTAAACAATGAATGTAATAGTTGATAATCTACCAAATTTATTATCGCAGTCCCCACGGATATGCTAAAGTACTGCCAGCTTTACTGTTCTACTATTCCCATCTCCAAACAGAAGAAGTAATTCTATGGCTGCGATCATGGTGCGAACCCGAGTTCTCGATAGCAAGTTCCACGATAGCGTAGCCATGACTCTATTTTAGTTGTAGTACAAGTAAGGATTTACGGTAAAGGGTAGGATGTAGGAAAGGGTTGTGCTCAACACGTGCTCCTCACTGCTTTTGACAAAAAGGAAGAAGAAGAAGAAGAGTATTTTCATTTGGAAACGTCTATTCACAACAAGGTTCTCGACGACTCTTATGCATACTCGTGGATTCTCAAATGTACAACCAGGTACGACTGCATGTGAGTTGAGGAATTTGGGCACGTTCTCTAATAGGCCACCTGGTTGTGCGGTCTTCCTAGATGTCGGGGTCCTTCCCACTCCCACTCCCACTCCCTTGGAATTTGACTTCTGATCTTCGCCACCGCTGAGCTGCATCGATGATGCCGTGTGGAAGAGACCGGAGGATGAGGATTTTTCTCAGTTGATTGTGACAGTTATTATCGTTTAGAAATACGCAAGCTCTGCCGAAGCAAAATGATTGAGGAGATCCGAGAATGTGTGTTGGAAATGCATCCATAATTAGCAGTGCCCGGAGTCACGAGAGCGATGAACTTACAAATCGAGCGGTTCGAAGTTCAAGTTTGGGTTGTCCTGAAGTCTGAATTAGTTCGCTGCCGTCGTGTGGCCTTGGGAGAACCATGTGGCTACAAGATGTGGGTTCATATCAGGCCAGGGTTTAGTCTCATGTTGTCTGCATTGCCAATGAGTTTCACAAGAGTCACACGGTTCCTTGTTTCGTATGTATGCTGATATTTCATGCTCAGGCGGGTCTCAAATCTCAACCTTCTGCGTCTTTTGAAACACGATGGTGTCACATTAACCCTCTAGTCCCTCTCGGGCTCTCATCTCGAGAACTTCGAAGCACCTACGGGAAATGCCACGGACCCTTAATTTTAGGTGCTTTAATGGTCGGATGCTATTTTCGGCGTCCTGCGGAAGACACCAACAATTGAGTATAATCGAGCTTCACTACAAACATTCTTCGAATAGACTTTTCCGGATTACGATTCCGTCTTGACATGAGGTACGTAATTACTTTCACGAAAGCGTCTCGCTGCTCTTGTTACTCTTCATCGAAACAATGAAATGTAATATAATCTAACATTAGCCTTCTACTCTTTATTAAGTAGGAGAAAACCCATAAATTATGACACTTAATCCAAAGGGAGCAACATAACACTAGGTACCAATGGCATCCGAAAGAATCATATCCATCTACCTAGTCATGTACAGAAAGAAATATACTCTGATACATTTGTTTTCACAGGGATTATACTAGTTGATGTGATATGAAGAGTCATGGATACATTATGACGAAAGTGAGCTGTACTCACTTTCGTCGTACTAAAGCCTTTGATCGGTGTGATACTTATTTGATATAGTTTGTGAAACAATTTCAAATACCTGGTATAGTTTATAGTCGTATCAAAGCTCAACTCAGTAGTTCGAAACTCAAAAAGATTGAAAGAATAATAATAATATCTTTGCATGTATACCTATTGAATCGCCACCCCTAGGGAAGAGTAATATCATACGTTATTTATAAACTAAATGCTGTAATACTGACTTGGTTAATGAACCAGTTTCATTATATGATTGAAAATTTTATATATAAAGTATGCTGTATAAATAAATCATATTATGAAAATAAAACATTTGAAATGACTAGATTATTATGTAAATTCTCTCCTTCAAAATTGAATCGATGCATCTGCAGTAACTTAACATAAATTAAATTTCATTTAATCCATCGGAAGTGATTTGGGACTTTAGAAGCATTGTTTCTCTATACGTACGTCGTCAAATCGAAAAGCGAGAAGGTACTCATTTACGCCAACATGACCCAACTTGCAATCATGCACACCGTGAACAGAACACAGCGAATGCAGCACCGACTAACATTCGAAGAATTTGAGTCCTCGATCACACTGCTAATCAGTCGTACCAAGTACAAATGGAAAAGAGCTGTAATTCGTGCGGGGAATCGGTGCGGCACGCTTTCCGGTCGTTCGCATCAGCCTGTTTTCAGTAGATTCGGGATCACCAAACGTTGCTCTTGGACTCAGCTTAATCACGGCCTTTTTTTGGTTTGCAACAGCGCATCATGGCCCCCATTAGTCCACGCATTGTGCAATGCTTTTTTAGACCTGGTTTCGAGTAATAAAGCGAGTTTCCACTGAGCCAGCCCTCATGGCACTTGTATCCGCCGTCCACTTTCGGCTTGACCGAGTCGCCTCTGGTCTCACCAGCAGATTGTGGTCGGTAGCCAAACCATGCCAGTTTTGCCTCGACATCAACTGATGGAAGGCAGGGCTATCTTCAGGATCGGTCTAGTGCACCTTTGTGGGTTCGCCCTGAAGGTGAGGTTCCCGAGGTCCACATCTGAACTTCATACACATTTGTGTTCTGTGATTCTTGGGGAATCTTTTATGCGTCTGGTGCTCTGAAGCCAGTAAGAGCACAAGATGTAGGAATTGAGTGCCTAATTAGCACCCTCGGCAAGTCCTCGGCGATGGAGGAAAGGAGGTCCCGAGTCCATCACCTACGAGGGTCCTTCCCCACATATAGTACAATAGGTCCAAATGTAACATGGCAACTGGTAGAGGATCTCAGCTCCAGCTGTATTGTAAATCAAAGGTCTAGTGAAGGAGTATCGAATGAGGGAATTACACGTCAAAGGTTTAGAAAACTTTACATCGAACAAATTGTGTGCTTTTCGTTTGTCTCTGCGCTTTTATGGTAACAGAGGTACCTTCCTGTCCTCGGGTTCTGAACTGGGTACGCCCTGGACTGCGTTTAGCCGCAGCTCCTGGTTCTATCTAATCGGGGGCCTGAAGCCAACCAAGCTTCATCAAAGCTTCCGAGCCGGCCATACTGTCATGGCTGACTGTCGGATTTTAACTGCAGAGTACAACAGTGGTCCCGACAGAGGAAGATGCTCAAAATCAGCAGAATCATCCATCTTTGTGGCATGTCCTGGAAGCAAGCGATCTGAGGACTGGAGAATGGGGTCCGCCAGGCACGTTCGGTTGGAAGGAACGACAGCCACGTCGAGTGGATTAGTGAAAACGAGAGCGGAAACAGAGATTACGTACTTTGTTTGCGAGAGAAATGTCAATCAATTCTCTCCGCGATTAGTTCCATGGGATGCAAAAGCAAGTGAAGGTAGGCTTAGAGTAATTGAGGTGTCGGTGAATGAAGAATACTTAACAAGTCAGGCCGAATTAATTCTTCTTGAGGTCAGGCCTGGGCCTACTTAGTTACGCTCTTTCGAGCACGCTCTGAGACTTCTGACTAAAGAGTTTGAAGTACTCTGTGGCCCACCAGCCGACATCCAGGGACAGACCGTATAGAGTGTGATTCTCGTGCTCATGTCGCTGGCCTTTTCAATTAACGCCCACTGTTGAGATGATTAGCACCAGGAGAGACGATTGGGATTTCGACAGCTGGGCCTTGGCGATGTCTGCTGATAGGAGGAAATGCTGCTCCGGTCACAGGTTTATAGCGAAGTTGCTCCACCGTTATCGGAGAGTCGGGTACATCATCCTTGAACAGATTCTGTGTGGCAAATGCGGGGCTCAAAGACTACTGTTTGCTTTCAACTGATGTGTTCGATGATCGAGAGATTGGGAGACATTTTCATCAAGCTCTGTCCGAACCCTGGTTATCATATACGAAGTCTCTGCATCTGACGTATGCATTGTGCTACACTTGACATAACTCGTGCTGGTCGAGCTTTTCGAACTGCGAATTCTCTGAGGAATGGATCGCCCGATCCTGACTTATGCACCAGTGCCTGCTTTCAATCCAGCTTGGATACAAAACGAATCTATAAGTTACGCCTTCTCTTTGAGCTTTTCGACATTTTGTGTAGCCTGAGAAGGTCCTAGTTGGCCGGCTAGTCGAGGATCAAAATGGCCACAGGTGTTGGAATACGGATCGCACTTTGAGAATTCAACAACAGGGTTGGACGAAGGCGACAGTATATGAAAGATTTTTTGTAGAATTGGGGACGTTTGAATGGAAATCATGGATGCAAGCGCTGCCCAGCCTCTTCTAGGTATTAGCGAAGAAGAGACCACATTGAGGGAAAGGGCCGCATTACTTAAATCTGTGGAGTTTCAGGCAACGTTACAGAAGGCTGCATTCCTAGTGGATCAGGTTGTTCAGCTGAAATCGCCGTCAGATTGGAAACTTCTGTAGCTAGTGCACTGGCTCTTAATACATATGTGGATTTCCTTCTTGAATTTGGAAGCTTTAGCTAGCTCTCCATAGTCGGTCCTCGTTTTGAGAAGCTGAGAAATTAGCATCAGTAATTTAAGTTGAGTAACGTTGTAAGGCAGATACATGCAGATAAGAAACAGTGAACGACTTTCTGAAGAAAGTGTTGGGGTTTTGGATGGCGTGAACTTTTGTAGTACATCTGGATTTTCTGATGCTGGTGTCACATCCGGCCTTTGTGATTTTTTCTCATCTCTTCTCTCATCAACATACACATGCAGGCTTTGTTGAGGCGTTGGATGCCTTTGGAGGTTCTACAACATAAAAACTATCAGAAAGCGAAGTTGTGCTGGTCATGGTACAATCGCCTATTTTACGTGAGATGTGTCGTCCTGGGCATCATGATTATTCTTCCTTTTTTTCAGGCACAGTCTCTCACCCTAAACCTGATCAGTACTTCCTATGACTTGCAGATTTTAGATGAAACTTTGGAAATTAGTAGCAGCTCTAGTATTGCTTGAGTTTGCTGATCATTAGAAACCCAATCTTATATGCTTAAGTACAGCCACAAAGTATGGTAAAGTGGTGCCTGATACTGTAGCTTGTATATACATGAAAGAGGCCTGATCCATAACCGAGAACAAATCGTAAACTTGTTGTAACAAGTTCGTAAGCAAAGACATGAAATAGGTTATTAAGTGTGAAGACACACATTCGATGAAAGTAGAAGATCAATGAGCTAATTAGAGATTTGTCTACTTAAAGCTAGAGCAAGAAGTGAAACTTCAATTTTATATCTGTCATAAAAGGTCTGCGTTCCTCTTTATCGTACACTCGGTCTCTTTCTTTCGCATCCATTCAGGTGGAATTCTTATGTCACCTCTTGTTTGAAGAGGTTCTGAACCAAATTCTGAATTTAAAATTTATTATTTGGAAACAACTACATCTCGTGTCTTATCACCAGACGCTCATTCTGAATTCTTCAATTTGACAATGAACATTTAACAATCAGAAGTAAATAATACTCGAGCATGTTCCAGTCGAGAGGATTATCCATGTTGGTAATGTTAGTTGATGCAGTCTGAGGATATGCTCACGACTTACTCTGAACCTTCTTCTTTTGCTAATGAAGAGATTTGGCTTTTAAAAGTTTGCTATTTCTTTCTTTTCAAAATTTATATTCATATTTCCTCAGGGTCTTCCAGTCTGAATATTGTTTGATCGACTAACGAATTCTGGTGTTGACCAGTCAGGCACCAGAATGGTGTACCGGGACTGCGGGAAGGCCTTGTGGAGATCCTGACAGGTACATGCTCAGCGGGATTAATTACATCCGACCATCAGTGGCTCTTGCGATTGAGGTGGGGAAATACTTACCTCATCACCTTTTGCTCTCTAGCTCTACAGCATCGGTGAACTTATTTGTTATTTTTTTGGATCACACCTCTCCTGTGTAAAGACTGAGAACAGTATTTCTACAAAATTGAAGAGTTTCCTGTGTGAGCAAACGTCATTGATACAACGCCTTTTTTTTTCCCTCTTGTAGGCTTTGTGCGTGTTTCCTTTGATTGTTTCATTGCTGTTACAACGATACTACAAATTTCAGACGTTCTGGCACCATGGATCAACTTATGTCAAGGTATTCTTCACATCACTTCCTATTAGCTACCAGTAGAACGCTGGTCTCACTTCAACTAATGATGTCAAAACCTAAGCATTGCAAGTTTCTATTAGCTGGAAACTCTGTTGTTTAAATATTTTTGCAAATGGTATGTTAGAGAAGGGGGGTTCTGTATCTTTTTCAGAGTCCAAAACTCTGTGTATGCATGTAAAATGTGTACAAATCGCAGTTGTACTTGTTTCAGGGCAGAGCGGATTGAGTATCAGTAAATCAATGCCTCTTTTGTAGATAACAGTGAGTTAAGCACTCGATACGTGTTAATCGAACAATTTTGTGTTACGAACGTGACCTTTATACGGAAAGTAGTCTCAATATTCTTGACAAGATATTCGTTTACAATATTGGGGATATCGTGCAAGGATGCGACTTGTCCGAAGTTCCTTCCCTGCCTCGAGTCTGTTCTACGGTGTTGTTACTCACAAAGGATGTCTAGAAGTCTAGAACATCTAGGTCTTGCACCTGCTTTCGACATCCTCGGTTTTCTCAGAACCTGACAAATCGAGAACAAAATTCAACAGGTTGGATTGTGTATCATCATAAGTGTTCGAATATTTGCCGCGGCCGCCAACCTTCCATGGATGTTCTTTTATCAAGGCACCATGGCGAACATGTATCTGAACATTTTGACACCCATTTTCTTCAGCAGGTATGAGAACCGGCATGCACTGACACTCTCATCAGGTTTGTTGTCAATTACTTGAAACTTTTGAGAATATGGGCTATGCTGAGAGATGTGGATAGCTTGACAACCTTCCAGCGTTAGTATCTGGCCATATATATTTTTCAGCAGTAAGTGAGCTGGGGGTTTCTTCCTAGTTATGCGAGTGTAGTCATGGTCTTTATATACACTAACACGAAACTGTGACAGGTCTTCGCCAGTGCATGATGTTTGTTTGTGTAACTACGCTGTGGGAAGAAAATGCAGGTTACTGATCAGAACTAGCCCCCATATCTGAAACTAAATTGTCCTCTACTTTTACTCGTCCCAGGCATTTGAACTCCCTTTACTTGAAATGCAATGCCTTTCTTCAGATCTGTTATAAAATTTGTTTCCACCACTGTCGCACCTCTTACAATTAGACGTTTCAATACTTTACATGGAACCCCAATTCTCCTTGTATGTAGCTTACATAACCTAGCCCTCTTGTCGGAGGGTTCCTTCCTTCCTACACTGTCAGCCTTTATTCTTGCATTCTGCTCCTGGGGTAAAAGAAATAGAGGCAATTGCTGACTTGTGTAATATAATGTGTTGCGCTTGCAGGACAAGTTGATTCATACAATTAACTCGAAACATGTGTTGGTGTTTGGCAGTTCATTACGTGGTTGCTTCCGGATGACTCTTCAGATTGTTCACTCCTTTTTGGATACCGCGGTATGACAATCTCCCTAACAGAGGCATGACACCTTCGTCTCGGAAATTTTGTTCCATCATGTTTCCTAAAAGTTATACTCGTCTTGTATGTAATATGCGTAGAACACCCAAAACCTGTCGTGACCTGCTTTGGAGATTTATTTTTGTTTGTGAACTTGATTACTTCGACCGTGGAAGTATTAACCAGAGGTAGAGTCGTCATCCGAGTTAGCTTGCGCGTATCTCATCTCGAGCAGACATTGTTATGTCCGCAATTTGGTGAAGAACACCAAAGATGTCTTACTTAGATCCGACAGTTTGTTATTCTGAGTTTTCTTGCTTTATAATTTTGGTGAATTGCCGGGATCTAGGATGCACTTCTTTACGAGCATTCGGTGTTTCTTGTTTGAATCTCAATCAGATTCTGCTAGCGGGCTTCATTCTGCTCTCAGCATGGTTGGCGAACGTACTGTTTCGAGAACCAAATTTTGAAGATTACCCAACGTCTCTTTTGAGCCTTCTGATCATGCTCACAACTGCCAACAATCCAAACGTTTGGGCGGAAGTATATACCAACAATCGGATCTCTTTCATCTTCTTCTTTGTGTACATGCTCGTGGGGTTCTTCTTTCTCATGCATCTGCTGTTCGCTCTTATATACAACAACTACAAAGTTCAGGTACTCACCGTTACATACTCTAGACTCTTCAAAATGCATATATGCGGTGTGCGTCAATCATTCCTAGCTCTTCTCATCTGGTATTCAGCATAAATGAAAGTCTCACTATTCATGATTCTTGTATAATATCACTTGTCAACACTCCATTCCTCTCATGAGATTCACATGGTGATTTCAAGTACCTGCTCAAAAAACACTCTCGTCATTTTGCAGTTGGCTGTAGAAGTTCACAAGCATGCCACAATACGCCAAAATAATCTCAGGGCGGCATTCGATCTTTTGAATCTGAATCGAGATGGTATAACCATTCCAACAGCTACCGCTCTTTTCAATGAGATAGGTAGTTACAGGTACGCGATCAATTTCCAAATGGATCTCTATACTTGATTCCGCTTTCCTGCTTTAAATCCGACGGCCGACTGCCCCTACTCTTATGCCTCAACGTAGAGATTTGAGTAAATAATCTCTGGGTGAGTCGTGACTTCATAGAGACCCTCGAGTCATTCTTCCTGATCAAAAGTCTGGTGCTTCCTTTGCAGGCACATAAGCGACGTTGATTCAACAGTGCAAAAAGTATTTGCTCGTCGGAATCGGAGTCCTGATGACAAAATTATATTTGGTGACTTCCAAATGCTCTGTGACCAGTTTCTCAGAGAAGTGGATAGAAAAGCCGAAGCCAGGTTCTTGGAAGAGGACAATGAAGTCACAAGTATAAGAATGAGCTGTACTACAATACTTATCGAGAGTAATTTCTACAAGTGCTTCTCATGGGCAGTCACGCTGGCCTCTTTGGTGGCCGCCGTCCTAGACAGAAGTGTATGGAGTTCACATTACACTTGACCTGTATTTTGTTTTTCTAGTAACAGTGGCATACTTTGAATTTTAGTAGTCCTAACGATCTGATATTGGTCGTATCATTCTAAGTCTTAGGACCTTGTTTTATGGAGGAAAGTGCTCCTTTTACTTGATAGTACTGAGATCACAGTTTCGTCACTTATTTCTTGCTGTGCAGATTAGAGGTGTTGATTTTACAGCTCCACGAGGCATTTCTCTGAGTCTTCTGACAACGTGGGAGTATGCTTTTGGTAATTTGCTACAACGCTAGCTAATTGGTAAAAGTGCTGCTTTTGTAGCACTTTACCTGTTCGACTGGGTTTCATTTCTCAGAAATGAATTGCTACAGACAAATTTGCATAATCTACTGTACGCCGTTTTCCTCATCGTTGAAAGTATTTTGCTCTTATCATCAGAACTTGTTGCAGGTATGTTCTTCTTCGTTGAAATGTCTATGAAGCTACGGGTGCTTGGTTCCAACTATTGGGATAGCTTGAGAAATTGTTACGATACTCTTCTTACTTTCTCAATAGTGGGCGTGGAGATACTTTCCAATTGGCATCCGGAGGTCGTCGAATGGTACGCTTTCAGTCACTGGCGATTGAAGTTTTTTGGTTGTTTGTCCGGTTTCTCATGTGGTCGATCACCATTGGAAATTACTCAGATACGAGCATTTGGGATGGCTTCTTAACCAGGTCATATCTACATGGTCAAGGACAGAGATAAGTCAGACCATTTTTGGCAAGAACAATGCATGGTTTGATCAATGAGCTATCAATTATTCTGTAAAGATCTGCTTTTTTAGCGATCATCAGCAGCCGTTTCAGGTTCTGAAAGTATGCAAGTTCCTATGGGAGGTCGCTTGAAGTCACGAATTAGAGTCCTGATGCTGCGCTCTTGTTATTACAGGATATCATTGCTGCTCATCATACGCTCACTCAGAATAGTCAGCTTACTGAACCACTTCACCAGATGGCGACTCATGTTCTGTCTCCTGGTCCGGATGGTTCCTGCCACAGCACCAATACTTGGGATCCAATACTGCGTGTGCTCCCTGTTTGCAATTCTAGGTGTTCACCTCTTTGGAGGACTAGTCTATGTTGGAAACCCACTGCTAGAAGGGACAGAATACGCCGCATCGGGTCTCTGGGTGTACAACTATAACGACTATGGATCAGCGATGGTGTCGTCATTCAATCTCTGTGTTGTCAACAACTGGTATGTCATTATGGACGGAATCGTTGCCGCCTCAGGGACGTCGTGGGCTCGAGCTTACTTCATCACTTTCTGGGCAATTTCAGTGACTTTCACTCTGAACGTGGTGGTGGCATTCTTCGTTGGCGCCTTCACAACACAGCTGGAAAAGGCGGAGAATGATCGATCTATGGTGGTGCCGCAAAATTCCAAGTATGCAGTACTGACCAGGAAAAAGGTAGGGTTCTCCTTATTCATGGGTTACAGCAGAACGTTCTCAAAATACGATCTCTATGAAGAGATTGTGAAAAGGTGAGATTCCCAAAGAGAATCCTTCTCCAAAAAAGCCTAATCTTGGTTGACAATTCAGTGCCGGCACCAGAAGCACAAGGGTCTAATCAGTAACAGATTAAGTGGCTTTGGATCTTGTATACTATTTTTTTGCACGAGCTACTTCTCGACATACACTAGTCCGAAATGATGCTCTCGAAGGGCTCTTCATACATTTTGATTTCAACGACCTGGCTCTTCTAGTTTCGTAGTTTCGTGCTTGCCTATGAGACTATCTTACACACGATACACTAACAAACAGAGTGGCGCTCTGTTGCTGGACGGTTTCCCATTCCATCCCAGCCCCAAGTCACGAATGTTGTTCACAGCAACCAAGCAAAACATCCGGCAGGCGCATAGACTCTTGTAAAACAGAAAAGCGACAGATATCAGATCACAGATCGTTCATTGTAGATTTGGGGCGGGGCTGATGATTCTTCAGTCTATTCCTCAATACTTCTGGGCTGTAAATACGTGCGACATACAAGAAAATGACCCAATTTTTTGTGGAATCCTGTTGGCATTCCTCGTTTACATATACAATTCTCAACAAGTGGAGGTTACCAATGAGGCACTGAGCCAAATATTTGTATCAAGTTGTGACTGTTCACCGGGTGCACAATCACAACTTTTGCACCGTTATTTACTTTTGGCAATCCCAAGTTTATTCCCAAGGAGCTTCCAGATGACGGGATATATGTTGTTCGCACGCAGGTTATGACAGGTCAGGTGGTAACCGATAAATGAAAAAGACACCATATGTATTCCTGAAGAAACAGCCAGATGGTCTTCATGCAAAGTAAGTTTCAATACACACTGAAGTCAGAAAAAGATATATATCCTGCCCCAAACAGACCATAACGCAAACAAAGGCGTGATATTTGCAGGAAATACACGTCATGTTCCTGACTCTTCAAGTTTCACCTCTGGAATACTAAACGTGAAAAGGTGTCAATGTTTTGTTTTAGAACAAGGTTTTATTTGTGGTCATAACTTGCTGTAGATCTTTGCATTATAGAAGTTGACATTGTTAAAGTGATACAAAACTTGTAGGCTTGGTCTTTAACTGACTTCAATGTAAGGATCACGTTTAGAAAATATGAAATTAAACTAAACTGCTATATAGTCAAGCAAATAAATAATCAATCTTCAAATTGAACATGATCGCAATTTTTCCGATTAGTCCCACCCAATATCAAATCACGAATATTGCAAAGTCGGCAACATTCCATACCGACCATATAATCATGTATGCATGTACTCTAACTAATAAATCTATTGAATGAAATGTACTGTGTCTTTGTTGAAACAATCACGAAAAAATATATATACACATGTCATTTTCAGTACTAGTTTACATTACTATTGTCAAATTCCGGATGTGCGATCAATTTTGAAATTGCATCCATATATGATCAATAATATATTTTGTAGCATACATTCTTATGCTGAGTAGTAAGTCACATTGTATAACGTGAATCGAAATTATTTTTTTATCCAAACCCGCTAATGCTCATAGTTATCTCGAGTCTTAGAAGTATTATTGAAATTATATAAATTTAGCTAAAAGTGCTCAAAGTGACAAAATTCACATTTTGTGTTTTGAATATACAAACTAATAAGAGAAAAAGCTAGTTGTTACATTATGTGATTTTTAATACAATTTGGTTAGACTAAAAAAAGTTGAAAATTATATTGAATAAAAGAATATACATGCACAAACAAGTATTTATCAAGCTTGCAAAAGTTGGATGCTGAATGAGACTATGTGAAGAAGTAGAATATTCAAAGATTTTTAAAACTAATGTAAAAGTTTCAAAACAGAATAGAAGATTTTGTAGCTAGATAATTGAAATATCTCATGAAATCAAATAACTTCGTCACATCATCAATGTAAAGAGTACAAAACCAACCTTGAACATTGAACTTCAATGAAGTTTCTCACATGATGTTGACATTTGACGAACTATAGCTTCATGACATCTTTGAAAAAATCTCCTAATCTTTGTTGTTTATCATAGATAGCAATTTTGAAGCCATAAGTCTCACATATGATATTTAAGTTTATTTGTGATAACAAACAAGTACCATAATGGTACAGATTTGTTCTCACAAGGACAGAAACAACACCGAAGACTCAAGAACCATAACTAGTTAACATTCTATTGAGAAGTTTTATTTTTCAGACTTATGTCACTTCCAGAAGACACTTCTCGACTGCGGCCGAAGGCCGCAGTCGACTCTGGTGGTCTCCGCAGTGGACTCTGCTCTGCGCGCCGAAGGCGCGCAGAGCAGAGTCCACAACACCCACAACCTGAACCTGAACCACAATAAGTGTCTGCAGGAATCGCATCTGATCCTGCACTTAGTATTAAAGGGAAACTTCCGAGATTGCACTCTCAGCCGACTGCTCCGAATACCTGAATTCGAACTTGCTTAAATCCCAAGCGACCCCAGCATACTCAGAATGTTCAAATCGGACACTCATGACTTCAGATGTGGTAACTTCGACAAACTAAAGCGCACCATGCACGGTGTCAGATAGACACAAACTCACAAACGCGAACGATAGACACAGTTTGAAAGCCGAGACAAATGAATTGACAAAAAAGCCCCACAAGGCCAAAGCCGTAGGCTCCATTATTCACAATGAACACATTGACAGTTCAGCCGCCTGCGGCGAGCCACCAACAGGTGTGGAATCAATCGGCACAGCAGTTACTACGTCCGTTGAGCTTTTGTCTACTCCTATCCTACACAAAATGACTAATATCACTAACTTTAGGTTCTCCTTCGCCTATTCCAATCCGGAAAAGAAAGAATTCACTAATCTAACTAACTGTCAATGTTTGACGGTTCCGCTACCTTCCAATTTCTTCAATCGTTTCTCCGGCAAGTCCAGCTTCATCCATTTAGTGATCTAAATCTCTCAATGTACAAAATCACAAAGACCACTCTCAACTTGCAACTGCAAACTGCTCTTATAACTTCCGAATCGTCAACTCCGCCGCTTCCGCTTTTGTCTGCGACATCGCTACACTGTATTCAACTGGGTTCGCAACCGATCGCAATTTGAATCCAATTTTCTCTACACTCAATATCCGAAAACTTAGCTGCCTTGCACTCAGCCAATTTTCGTGTCCAACTAGTCAATTCGTCCGCGTACTCTCGTTTCCGCTCCGCCAAACTCGCTATGAACTCATTCACACGTCACGACTCCAACATGTGCACTATGTTGCATGCATCTATCCTCTCCCGAAGATCCATTGTCACCTTCTTCATCGTCACAAACTCTCGCCGAAGACCTTCGTTCCTTAGTTCTTCTTCTTTACGGAGTTCCTTTTTCTTCACTAGTTCCCGCCACAGAGCTTCGCACTCCGTTTCCTTTGTCCGAAGTTGCTCTTCACACTCCTCCAGAGTTGCAGTCGCTACCACGCATTCTCCAGCCACTCCCGCAACATTCTCCGCATTCTTTGTCGACGCTGCTATCTTGCTTCGAGTCCTATTTCTCAACAAGTGTACATAGTATTTGGCCTCTTCCAATACCCCGTACTTCTCTCGCTTTGCGTCTAAGTATTTCAGCAAGGGAACCACACTGTTGCGTACAAAATCTGGAAAAGTACTTACTACCTTCTTCGGCTCTTTCGCCGAAGATCTCTTCCCGACTTCGAGGTCCACTATCCCAAAGACACTTGACCCGAAGTAATCTCTGGGGGTTAACCCACTTTTCCTACAATCTTCTCAACTAACTGCTCTAGTATCTCCTCACTCACAACACTCCTTCGTAGGCTCTTCTTCAGTCTTCGGCTCCTGCACCTCTGGTTTCCCCGAAGATCTACCTTTTTCCTCCGAAGACACTTGCTTCTTTCCGAAGGCCGGAGACATTGATCCGAAGTCGCAGCCCTCTCCTTCGAAGATCTCACTTTCCCCAAAGGTCCCTTAACCTGCATCCCTAAAGGCCTAACCTCAGGAGTCCGAAGATCCTCTACCCGCTCTTTCCTCACTGCTTCCTCATTTGCCGAAGTTGCGGGTATCTCAGACATAGCTACACTACTTTCCGAGCTGTCTGAAACTACTACCCGACGTCATGTCTTCATCTTCTGTATAGCATGCGTTTTCGGCGTCCTCATAGGCGTTGAAACCAGCTTAACCATCTGTGCTCTCGGACCTCGTACATCAACACTAGAATTTGCCACCTTCCGTCTCTTTGCTAGTCGTACCTCAGGCACATCCTTTGCCTTGACTACCTCCACACGAACTTAACGAGGTGCTGGCTTTCTAGTAGTTTCTTCAATACGAGCTTCCTCCTCGACTGGCTCCTCGTTCTTGTCTAATTCCAGGATCTCCTTTTACTTAGGGAATTTTTGCTCCTCACTCTTGATCATCAACTCCATCCCAAGGTAGACATTGACAAAGAACGGCGTCATAAAGTTCACTGCTACTTCCACCTGTCACTTGGGTTGGTCACTATAATGCTCCAGAAAATCTTCGCCGAGTGGATCGCTTTTTCTTATACTGCGCGCTCTATAAATCCGACTTGCCACGCCGCCACATATGTCGTTTGGTGTGGCTGCAAGATATGCATCAACGCTATCGCCATATTGCATCTCTTCGGATCGCAGTACTCGTCAATCCTCCAGCCGTTCGTGCTCAATAGAGGTATCGTAAACAACTTTGTGAACGTCGTCTCTTCGACCTTCGTCACTTTGACGCTATCCTTGTCAAAGATGAAATCTACTTTCTTGCCCACGCATGGCCCCAAGATGCGCGTCCAATGCTCGATCGTCCATAGCAGAGTATTATGGCGAAGGTTTGTACACACGTCCTTGTTCTTGTCTATCCATTCCTGACAAACCGTGGCCGAAACACAATTTCAGTCTCAGAACAAGAAATCAAGTTGCGGTGTGATACTTCTGTAATTGCCTATATGGCAAATTCATCGAGATCAATTTTGGTCCCTGTAATTTCTTAGCGCGTGCCATGTCTCTTGCAAGATTGTCTTCAAGCTCTCCACTTCTAAGTCGCACTCACGCAAAATGTCGGCGTGAAGTTCTCATTTCGCGTCCTGTATCCCTAACACTCTAAGTATCCTCGCACGATCGCAAATTGGCATCCTCAATGCTAGTAGTTCCTTCACGGTCTTTGGCAAATTGAAATTGGAACGGGTCTTCTTCGCCGAAGACCCGTCTACTACATCGCCGAAGATATCTGCGCCGAAGTTTGAAAATCTTCGAACGGAGACTCCAAAGTCGGATTCCATCTAACATTAACTACTAATTACCCAATTTTCTTTATGTATTCTAATTCCAATAATTATAAACATATATGTACATGTTCTACATCCAATACACTTCAAATTTATTCTTTTATCCAAAATTTGAAAAAATTGTACACCAAATTATTACATTTGAGTTGGATGTCTCATTAATGGTGTTATTTATCGCCTGAACATGATTATCTCTGCATTTGGAAGATCTTGAACATGATTATCACTGCATTTGGAAGATATATTGATATATGATTATGATGTATTCCTTCGTATACATCACATGAAGATCGACTTTGGAGACAATACAAATCTCTAAACCTCTTCTTTTTACTCTGCATACAGTGTTTGACATTTTCATTTCATCATTTGTACATGATATATATCATATCGTTGGAGGTTGTCAAGTTAGAAAGATTTCACATATATAGTTATTTGTAAGAGATGGTTAGAGTAGCAGTTAGAACTCATTTAAGAAGTAAGAGCATGAAACTAGGTAACTTTTGCCTTGTAAATTTTCAATCTTTTGAACTGCAATCTTAATTAGGATTGAATGAACACTCACGAAGCTGGTGTGATTAAGGAACATATTGGACTCGTATAGAAAGTCGCAATAATTTAATTACATGACCTGTAGTTTTGTCTCGTAGACAAGGAGAGTCATTTGATTGCTTCGGCTTGTAAGGAAGTATATACATCTTAGGAAGGGATCAAATTCTAGAATTCTGGCGTCATCTATGTATGCCTATCAGATGAGATTGAGAATTAACATTCAATAGGTAGCAGCAAACTCCTATCACAGTAGTGCCACTCTTTGGACTGTGGTGTCTAGAGTTTGTAAAGAAGTATGAAATAATTTCTTACTTGCTACCTAGTCTATTTGTGTTCCTTATTCTCTTGGGAACTATGTTTTTATTTATGATATTGGTTAGTAACAACTGCTTGAGCTACTATATATATTAGCTTCTTATTGACATTAACAATCCCTACCTTTAACTTGCCCAAGCCTTGACTATACTTTAGAAGGTCTTCTCAGCTTCTGCAGTTAAATCCCACAGCATCCATGTTAACTCAATATTGACATGAATTACCTACGATCCTTCAACTTGTTCATGCCTTTACTATAATTAGAAAGTTCTTCTCAACCTCTGCAGATAAATTCCACATACTAATATACTTCCGTGTTAGTGATCAATCTTTTTTCTTTCACGATTCTCTACCTTTTCCGTGTGGATTATTGGTACTTACTTTGCCTTCTCAGGGTTCTTTGACTTTCTTGTCTTCCACTCTTAACGTTACATGCACTTTTCCATTTCATTTCGCATACTATGTTCCTCGCTATCATTTTTCTTCATATTACAATTTCATGATATCCACTTTGATGGATCAGGTGCTTGAGCTTTACGCTAGCACCTGATCGATCTGATGAAAATGAGGAAGCAGGGAATGGAAGCGTAATGTAGAAAGCCATTTACCTGCACATTTGAGGCGAAACAAACCCATTTCAGAGTATAACACGATGGGAGCAGTTTATTACTTCCAGAAAATCGATTTTATACATCTCGAGGACAAAATTGCATTGAACAATACTGACGTTTTGGACTAAGGATATCTTGTCCTAAACGTCAGGTACTGCATACTCTCAAGGTCACTGCATGCACATACTGCATGCATACCTAAGGTCACCATCAACGGTGTGGGTACAAGGGGTGTTGAGACTGTTTTGTACATTGTGCATCGTATATATACAAAATCAGTACGATCGACTATTCAATAAGTGGATGTTTTACAGGTTAGTCGAACAAATGAGCTGTTCTACTCTCATCGTTCAACAATTATCAACCTCGCATAAAAATTTACTATAATCTTGAGCGAGGCCTACGTCACTAATTTACAGCATTCTCAACTCGAGAAGACAGCCCTCTACACTTATCAAACACTAGGTTTACGCCTACATAGACATAAGAATGTCCATTTCAGAATTTCTGATATATATATGTGAGCCTCTTAAATAGTCGGGTCGGAGCATTAGGGAAAACGAAATAGGGATAGAAGAACTCTAAAGTTGATGTGAACCGTAATCAGTTTGCCAAGACAGAGTAAGATAGGGACTAAAAGTTGGTCTGGAGAGTGAGGTTCGGTCCTGAATGTGAACATCTTTAGGGCCAGGGTTGAAAGATCCTGACTTATCTGAAAGAGAAGTAGAGGGCCGGAGGACACAAGCTGTTGTATTCCGATTGTGTACAAGACCCGCTAAGTTGGCAGGATCTGACTCTAATATAAGAGTCGATAGACTGTAACATTTCAAACTGAGAGGACCAGAATGGTGAGGCCACACGAAAGGTACAGAATGACAGACGACGATAGCTTGCAGACAGACTGCAGGGTGCAAGAGTCTGTTAGCGAATTGGTTTCATGTGCTTCCCCTTCATTATGCAGGGGATACTCATGTGTGGACAACAGTCGTCTATTTGGCATACATTGAGCCATAAGGTGCAACAATGCGGATATAATCATAGAGAAAAGGGCCAGTATGACGGCTGTGATTTCTCTTCTTTCCATGCTCTGAATCTGCCATCTGCAAATGAAGAAGGGGCAGATATCAGTCCATGATAACTCGGCTTAGAAAAAAAAACAGATTTGAAAAGAATGGAAATCATGAGGGCATTAAGTAGGTGCATAGTCCTGGATCCACCCTGTTGACAACTGCCCTTGCAGAAAGTGACACTGTGAGTAAAACAGAACTCAATACCTCATAAACTCAATGTTCTCCGTGAAGTTGCTGGCCACCATGGCAAACTGATACTCCATGAACGTTTTCTCTCCCTTCCGCTTGATTTCCTGAAAAAACGGACAGTAATTAAAAAATCTACTGAAATTAAAAGAACATCTATTAGGAAAGAAAAAACTGCAGGTCGGGACCTTAAAGTGCATAGGATAAAAATGAATAGTACAACCCCTCCACACGCATGGGCCTTGCTAGGTCATAGTTGATTACCATGTCCGCGAGGCGCATCGCCAATAACGCCGACGTTGCTGTCTCATTTCGTAAGCGTTCCGACAGCACAGCAAGATCCTTATCAAGCTCGCTAAGCATTGCTTTGTACTTGACATTCATATCTTCCAAGTAGTTGTCGAAGAGGGATTGGTTTAACTCTAAAGCTTTCACTTTCTGCATGAGAATCTTGAGAACAGAATCTCCCGGTGGCTTTCCTCCTGGTAGATAATGTACTTCTGGGGCCGAGTCTCCAGCTCTTGAATCTTCGTCCCTTGAAGCGCCGTCCACCTTCTTCTCCTTTTTCATCACTGCTGAGTCTGAAGAAGTAGCTGCTTCGGTAAGAGCTTGAGAACTCACGACATCAGTGACAGCTGCGTCGAAAGTAGCGGAGGAACCGTACTGTACCTCTGAAGTCTCTTCATGGTGAACGGGAGGAACAGTCGTATGTGTTCTGGCACCACTCTCCCCTTCTTCAGATGCTATCCAATCATCCAAGAGGTTTTTGATCACGTCAACTCCGAAAACTTCTACTATACTGAGGGTACAGAAGAACTCTGAACCCCAGTGACTAAGCATTTTCAACATTAGATAGCGAACTAACTTAGGATCTTCGATGGTGAACTTTTGCCTATGCCTAACATTCTCCGCTTGATACCTTCCCAAAAGAATCCACTCTTTCGTCGGATAGGTTGGACTTCCATACACTTCAAAGTCCTTCAGATTGGCGGAATGGAATTCAAAGTTGGCTACTACAACCGTGTCTACAAATGTCTCTTCGGAAAGTTCTAACACCACATACTTTTCATCGGCACTACAAGGATTCCGAAGGTACTTGTCCTTATCGGAATTGATAATATGGCCTGCCCCTTTAGCCTCCTTGTTGGAGCTCAGTACCTTCGCCCCATGCGAATTAGCGGCATAATTGTAACTCTCATCACTATGGCGCATTTTGTGAGTATGAACGCTACTGAAATCTACATCATTGCCGAGTTTCTGCTTCTCGAGGATCGACCTTTTATACTCATCCAGGCTCATCACTGATCCCACGCGCCTCAATTTTACAGGCTCTAACTGGTTCTCAATCTCCACGTCCCCGGGTCTAGGAGGTTTCACAGATGATAACCATTCATCGTCTAAATTCATCATCATTTCAAGCTCTTCTGCAAGAATATCTTCTGAGGTGTCCCGATTGCCTCCAAGATCCAACCGCGGATTTGAAGAAACACGAGTTCCGTCAAACTTACTTGCATCACTAAAACTATCCATGAACATGTTAATCGAGGATAACAGAGATTCCCTTGCCGTATCAGTTTCCAAGTCATGATGGACGCCAAGATCGGACGGAATTTTAACTTCATGTGTTGCACCGGTGATTCGGCTTTCATCAGCTCGGAATTCATCCGAGGATGACATCATAGCTGTTCCATCATGTGCAGTCACAAGATCACCTTCTTGAAGATTTCCTCCAACCAATTGTGCCTCTGAGCTAGGACTTGCAGGAGGAGCGAGAGTGTTCGAGGCTTCTGCCTGTTCCGATTCGGTATCTGCTCTATCGTTCGCTTCGCCATTTATGGAAATCTCAGTGACACCCAATGGTTCCTGGGCAGGCAGCTTGTACCGACCCAAAAATTGGAAAAATGAATTCCCCAGTGATCGCTCAAAATGACAAGTTTTGGAGTCGAGTCTTCTCTTGAAGCACTGCGTAAAAGAACTGCAAGCTATCTCCCACAGATCCAACCCAGTTGCAGTACTTCTCCTGCAAAGAAGGTAATACTCTCCTGGATTGAGTTCTCCAAACGACTCTCCATTGTAAGCTTCGAATAACTGACAGTGTTCCTGAGCTAAAAACTCGACAGTACACGGCAAGTTCTCATACGGCATGACACACTTCGCGCCTGTGGACTGCACTGGGGCATCCAAAATAGGACAGTTAACCCCTCCTGGATTACCAGTTAAGAAAACGTTTGAACTCTCCTCAGTGGCACCGCTTCTATGTAAAAGTCCTGCTCCGTATTCAGAATACTGCAATGCATCGAGTGGACTCCCGGATGTAGGCAAGAAGACGTGGACATTATCCACTTCGTCAACCACATCCCTCGTCTTGCCATGTGTGGCAGCTGGAAAGGAGGTCAATAGTGGACTCGCTTCTAGCTCGTTATCTTTCAAAGACTCCTCATGCTGCGCAACTGAAGAGCTCTCTACGAGATTTCCTAGTGCTCGACCACTGATCGAGTTCTCATTATCCTCATTCCACACTTGAGAGTTCTCGTGTGCGCCAAAAGCAGCTTCCTCTGAGACTGCACAATCAGGAATGGGAAGAGATTTTCATGAATGACAAGATGAGCCAGGAAAATAACATTTACCTACAATGGAACCTTTCTATGTCTTAATAACGACAAATTATCATCAAAATCCTCCATAAACTGAAGAATGCACACCTTTTTCTCCGGCTTCATGTACATGACTGAACGTGGATGAAAGGAGCAGAAGAAGGATCAGCGTCCAGGAAGGGAACGGAAGCGAGCACGGAAGACCATGAATGCACCTGCCCCTGGACACTGTCGAAACCCTTCTAGTGACCCTTCTCATGTGATTCCCAACCTCGATCTCCTTCATTCGAACCTAGTGAAACCCAATGTGCTCTCCAAGAGAAACATCTACACTCTTCTCCAGCGCGAAATTTTATTTCCCATGTCTGAATCAAAGAGGAAGAGAGCTTTTAGTGTTTTGCAAGAAACGCAAGCGCGATCCCTACAAGAGCACTAATCTTCCAATCTTTTCCGGATCAATACTAAGTGTAGACTAGCGTCTTGTCAGAATCCTCACGATATAGAAGCTAAGGAATTAGCGCAAATTCTAGAGCGCTTTGCTTGCTTGATCAGGCTCCGCAAATATTCTACCCAAGATCAGGGACTCCGCCAACGCATGTCGAACACACAAGAGTTTCAACCGACTACGGCCGGCGCACCTCGCTCATACACTGATGAAGCCACACCTTCAACATCTTCTTTTTTAGACGTATGAGAGGATCCATCAAGCTGTCATCCATGGGCTTTCTCAAGTGAAGAAAATATGGCATCATGGAGGCCCCACCCCTGCCTCGACATCCCGAGGCGTATATTTCACTCAACATTCAGAACAAGCCACACCCTGTGAACTGCCTCAATCCTTGCACTCATACACTTCCCGGTGAAGAAATTGTCACTGAAAACACTCGAGAATCGACGAAATCCGGCAAAACGTCTCCAAATTCTTACCTACGGCAATCTTCTTCGAACTCGAACGACCGATTTCTGTATGGTCTTCAGCGGACAAAACATCGATCATGGAAACTCCAACGACGAGGATTAAATCGCTAAATACAAAGACCGCAATCTACTCTACCGCACTTATCCGATTTCTCAACATTCGGCCGTCTTCGTGGGGTTTTCTCGACGCCAATCAACACGCCCTTCTCGGGATCTTGCTCCTCCTCCTCTTCTTCGATTGAGGCCGCGCAATTTGGGCTTTAAACCTCCGCGCCCTCGACGCTCCGAACTCCGCCCAACGAACACGTGCCCTCGCGAGCGATTCAATTCCGCAGCGTCTCAGGCCCGCCCGCCTCCGCCGCGGCCTCCAGTTCCCGTCCGACAGAGTTCCGAAATCGACCATTTTGGAATTTTCCTCGGCTGCCTCTCTCAGCTGCCCCGTCAGCACAGACACGACCCCGCAGTTTGAATCGATCGCTGGATTACCGGCGCTTTACCGGCTACTGCCTGTGTGTGTACGAGTAAATACTACTGCGTCGTTCCCATGCGTCCAATCCTTCAAACGCTTTGGACGTATTTTTGAGCGCGTAGAAGACTGGCATCTTTCAGTCTTCCCCGTCGGTCTGCCGCAGCACATTCCTCGGCTGCCTTTCAGACACGACCCCGCAGTTTGGATTGATCGCTGGGATGACCGGCTCTTTACCGGCTCCTGCCTGCGTGTGTACGAGAACGTTCCCATGCCTCGCCTTTTCTTTCCTCTCTATTTTATTTTCGAGAGTATCCTTCTGACGCTGAGTACGTAATTTTGAGCGGGTAGAAGACTGGCAGATTTCAGTCTTCCCCGCCGGTCTGCTGCATCCCATTCGGCAGAGGAACTTGCGGTTCGTGGACGTGGCAGACAACAGGGCTGCCGGTTGCTGCCAGCTAGCGGTTGACCTGGTGAGGAGAGCTCTGAGCATGGTCTGAGGAAGCGACATGGTTGGCTCGTTAAGGCCAGCTACGAGGAGGAAACCAAACCGGCTTGATATGGGATTGCGACGTTGGATTCTACATTGACATTGACATGAATACCCTCGCGGCTCTGACGAGGAAGAAAACTCGTTCCACATGTCACCGTCCTTGCCCGACAGCTGCTCATCTCATGTCAACATCGTACACCCGTCCATCTTCTGTGTTGTTGTTAGCTGGAAGGACCTTCGTATCATATGGATAAGAGACAAATGTGTAGGTCATAATGACAATGATTTAGAGCAATTCAAAAGCTAACTTTCTTATGAGAAATGTAAGAAATGGTTGAACAAATATTGCCTGTGGTGGGCAAGCATCAAGAAATTTCTTCTCTTTGCAGAAATTTTGGAGCTTAGACCAGATCTAAGAGATCAATTATCACATACCAGTGTATACCATGCATAAGATGTACTTCTCATTCAATGACTCGTGGATGTTTTGTAATTTGAATTGACTTTCATTTACTCTTTTCCTATTTGATGGTTATTTGTACAGTCCGAGGATTTTGATTCACTTAGGTTTATTTGCTCCTGGCAAAGCTCTTGGAGATATATTATCAAAGATTTGGAATAATAGAGCTGGCTACATATCCTATATGAAGAAGGAGAAAAATCTTTTAAAAATACAACGAAAGGAATCTCTGGACAAGCTGCTGTGATTGGCTGATCCAGACGGACTTGATCACCATGGAGTGATAAACCAATCACAGTCTCTTATCAAACCAAAGGCAGCGAACCATGCAGCCTGCCAAATCAGAGTACAGTTGTCAACCTGCTCAGGCAACTGATGAAGTAGCAGGGAGATCGTCTTGTCCTGTACAAAGATGTAACGCCCAGTCATGCCCAGCCGTGTACCGAAGGACACGATGGAGTCAGACTGTGATGAATCATCTCCATGCAGAACATGGCTACCTTCAAGTTGCCGGTTTTATATCTGATTTCATGCTATGTTGTTACATATCCTTGGCACTGATAGAACCGAGAGAAACTGGAAAGGAGTAAATTACTTTACATTCTTGCATCACAGATGAATTAAGGTGAAAGTGTAAAAAAATGTGTATAATATTTCATAATAATAATAATCATAAGATGTTAAATCTAATCTACAATAAAGTTTATATCTTAAAATTTCAGTATACTCGTTGTGATTTATGAATAATGATTTTGAATCTAGGTAGATGCAATTGTTAGATTTATTAATAATATATAAAAAAATTTCAATATAGGAAAGTCGAAGAAATTTAGTTGAAAGTAGATGTAAAAAATGAATACATGTGTTTTTTAATAAATCATAAAAAGCTTTCAGTTTGAGAAAAATGTTAAATAAATGTAAGGAAGACTCTGTAATATTGATTATTGCAAAAATAATTTATTTTATATTTAAATTTCATGTCATTAAAAATGAAAAAATAATTAACAATAAAATTTGTAATTTTTTCTTCACTGATTACTGGAAATAATAATCATAATAAAGTAATTAAAAATGACTCCACCTTTAATATCATACATTTTGTTGGTTCGTGGAATATTCAGGTGTGAAGCTTCTCTTATCTCAGCACACATATTGGATGTTGCGCAAGCTTTACAGTTTTGAACACAAAACTCAACCTCATTTTCTCAATCTAAAATTAGTTAATTTGTACATTAATGACCTTTTGCAGGTTTTAAGTTCTTAACTCGCTGTTTAGAGTTTTCAAATGTAACTTATATCAACTAGAGAATAAAGTACCACTCATCAAAGATTTGCCAAAAATGATTTTTGTTGATATATTTTCCAATAGAAAATATTTATACATCAAATAAATAAAATAAATCTAGCAGATGATTTTTCTTCTGTGTGATCTAACACAAATGTTCTGCATGAGAGAAAATATTTTCTCTCACGAAAATCTTACAACTAGATCTATTTTTATTTATTTTCAAAAATGCTAAGATAACTTTTCTTCAATATTAGAATTAAAAATTCTAATATCGATGTTCAGCATCTAGACTATGTCTAGATGAAAGTCTATACAAAGCATAACGTATTTTTCAACAAAAATCAATTTCATCTATACTAAGAACTTTACCATATTCCCATCTCCAACTGTGGGGTGGGCTATCCCAATGGCAAATAGTAGGGGGTTCGGGGATTTCGCTAGGAATCACCGCAGAAGGTTCATCATCGACCTTCACTCCACTAAAACAAGAAAAAATTTTCTTTATTTTGTTCCAAAAATTCTTCATCTTGTTTGGAACCTGCATAGCAACAAACCAAGTGAAGGAAACATTAGATTTAATGTAAATTTTATATAAAAAAATAAAATATTATTACAAATGATTAGAGTACATCATGTATTGATCATCAATGTCAATATACTATTGAATGTATTTCAAGGCTCACTTACAGAAGTAGGAGATAGGGTACTAGCGGTGATCCGTCGCGGTTCGGGTAAACTCAAACTCGACTTAGTCAAACTCGGTCAAACTCAGGTGATGTGCTTTGGCGACACACAGGTTCAGTTCTCATTCGCTTCTGCAGCTTCATGCGTGTGCCGGAGGAATGTGGCGGTGGCCGGTGCCAGGCTTTGGCGATGTCCGTTCCACTCACGGTCAGGCCCCATGGCGGGTTAGGCAATCACAACGACTGTCGCCAGGGACATTCGAGGCGCTGGCGGTACTTTGATTGCGGCGGCCCTTGACATAATGTCAGAGCTGATGGCTGTCGTTGTTCTCGTCGTTACCGCGAGAGGACCACCCTGGGGCGCAAGACCATCGTTCCCTTCGCGACCCGTCGGAGCTTCGAGGGGAAAATTCTGCGCGCGACACCTCAAAGCGTCTTTCGACTGGTGCGCTTGCGTATTGCGAATTGTTCCTGTGTTCGAATACACGAGTACTGCCGAGCTGTGCGACGATAGGCGGTGATTAGATTAGTGATAATCTGCGTTTGTCACCTCCTGGACTCCGAATTTAGTTCTCAAGTCGCCACCATATCTTGTACTCGCAGGCATGGTCATAAAAGCTGTCGTCGTTACCGCGAGAAGACCACCCTGAGGCGTAAGACCATTGTTCCGTTCTGCTCTTCACGACCCGTCGGAGCTTCGAGGGGAAAATTCTACGCGCGACACCTCAAAGCGTCGTTCTACTGGTGCGCTTGCGAATTGCGAATTGTTCCTGTGTTCGAATACACGAGCTGTGCAAGCTGTGCGACGATCGGCGGCGGGGCCGATTGGTTCCGCTCGATGCGGCTTCTACTCAGAGCAAGTGCCCAAGAGTTTTCTACGTGTGCTCGTTTGGCAAGTTCGGACAGCAGAGGCGAGTATCGTGGAGTGGATGCCCTGCCGAGGAAATCGAGTCGGACGCCGTAATGGTGAGCTTTGACTTTTCTGCGTTTTTTGTTTCGCACTCGAGACGGAGCTGGAATCGAGAAAGTGTGCCCGGCCTAGAGCTGAAGGTGACAGTATGTAACCATCTTTAGTTAGTTAGAACTAAAGTAGAGGTTACTCTGAATATTGATGTAGATACTTTAGTGTGCACTAGTCATAGCTGCCACGTCAGCGACCCGCGCACTTGGTAGGTACAGAGTGGATGTGTTAGTTGACAGTGCCACGTCAGCAATCCGTGTGCTTGTAGGTAAGGATTGAGTGTGTTAGTTAGTGTGTTAGTTGGGTGCGCCACGTCAGCGATCCGTGTGCTTGTTAGGGTTATCCGCCACGTCATCCATCCACTAGGAGTGGTATGGATGGTGGGGATTAGATCTTATCACCTTGTACTTGTTGGTGAGAGCTATATAAGGGAGAGGAGGACCATTGTTGGTATCTCTCATCTTCAGAGTTTACGTTTCTATCTTCGAGTGAACTTCTCTCTAAACCCTAGTGTTACAATGGTATCAGAGCGACCTTGCTCTTTCCTTGAGTGTGAATTACCCCTCATGGAATAGCAAGTGAGTGATGATGGAGTGTAGTCTTGAGAGTGTATAGAGGCTGGCAGAGGTCATTCATCTGCATGTAGAGAGAGGTGGAAGGGGGACATTGTGTTTTTGCAGATATGGACGGGATTGACAGGAATCCAGTACCGCACTGGCCAATTCCTAACCTATTCGATATTCACCTTCGTTGCATGGAGAAACATCATTTTCGGATGTACCTTGTGGCTTGTTGGGGTGCAGATTTTATGACTAGAGTGATGGAGTCAAGAGTGCCACTGATTCTTCCAATAGTTACTTATGGAGAGACTTGGGATTGTACTATATACATTCTATACTGATTGTTTCATGGATTTGAATCGCGAACCACCTGTCCCGGTTCGATTCAGCACTTATGTAGAGATTAGAACAGTATATAGACAGAAGAGGATATGGAGAGATTTTCTTGTGAGGAATTATGGAGAT